TGAGTGGTCCCGGACTCCTGTAAATGCAGGTGAGCTCAGTGGGAAGGAATTATATTGTCTGACTCCAGAAGGCTGAGAGATTTCTTTATTATAACTATGCTAAAATACATTAATATACTATTTAAAGGATATACTATATTACATTAATTATGTAATTGCTATAATACATTAATATACTATTTTAAGGATATACTATAATTTATTAATATATTATTCAATTTACTATTTAAACTACAAACTTACTTCTTCTAACTACCCTAACTCACACCTCGTGCCCTTCTTTTCCAGAGTCCAGCCCCAGGTGGGTTGGATTGGATTGTCCATCAGGCTCAAACAATCCTCACCAGAATCCAACTCACCCCAGGTAAACAATTCTGCAAACACATTCCACACGAGGAAAAAAAAAAGGAGCCGAAATAGAAATTTCTCTTCCTTTCCTCTGCGCTGCTCTATGGGAGCAGAAGGATGTGCCTGGCACAGCGGAGCAGCAGCTCCATCCCGGCGAGGTGAGGGGAGGTCACCGGTCCTCTTTGTCCTCCGTGATCCCCGCAGAGGTGTCGGATCCTGGTGCCAGCCCCATCCGCGCTATTCCGGGCAGAATTCCCTTCTCAGAGGCATTGTTGGAAATCCAGAGGAACTTGGCCTCTGCTCAGTCACTCTCGACTTCCAGGGGGTCAGTGAAAGCTGAGCATGAGAAACAGCCTCAATTCTCTGGGTCCACCCCAGCAAAGCGTCGGGCCAGCTCTTCTGGTCTCCTTGGAAAAGGCTGGCACCGGCGGAGCTGAGCAGCAGGGATGGCTGGAATGTGTTGAATTGGACTGAGATTCCCCAGAGATGGGGAAAAAGAAACCACGAGGGGAGAAAATCGGCCAAGGCAGGATCATTCCCCAGTTGTTCCCCAGTCAGCGCGCGGGACCCGGCTGGTTTCCGTGGGATTTTCCTGTTTTAGGGTTAAACGGAGCAGGCCGTGGGCACACGGAAGGTTGTGATTCCTGCTGGGGACGGGGTTCTGGACATTGAGCCCAGAGAAGGGAGATTTAGCAGGCTAAGGCAGATAAACTGCCCGAAGCGAACAGTCCTGGGTGCCTGCTGATAGGCACAGCCCATTTCCTGCTCCGCTGGGAATCACTGCTGTCAAATGGGAC